GCGAGGATCGCAAGATGAGCACACTTAGAGATCATTATATAAAGTAAGAGATATTATGAAATACGCAAAACCATTAGAGAGCAATGGGAGAGGGAGTGTGAGCAAACGCAAAGGGGTTAAATAGGAACCAACTCTATGAAATTTGTAAAACGGTTATGCACTAAGTGAGAAGTTTCTGAAGTTGGCAATGAGATTGGTAAGGGAAGGGAATGCAATTAAGAGAGAGTGGACTTGAGGCAAGGAGAGGAAGAAGAGTATATTAGTGTATTAGACGAATATATAAGCAAATACTTTAAAATTCACATAATCTTGATAAAAGAAAAATGAGAGGGAAGGGGGGAATAGGAGAACAAGTTAGACAAGGTTTGACCATAAATTTAAAAGCATAAAGGAGGGAACAATTGAAAATACGAGAGAGAGAAAAATGATTAAAGGAAAAGATTAGCAACAAAGAGATGGAGAATATTTTAAAGGCCATTCTTAGTTAGTAATTGAGATTAAGATAAAAAGAAAAGACTTTTTGAAATTTATATTCCATATTAGGAGTGAGCGAGAGAGATAAAAGGGGTCTTAAGACAAGACTTGTTAATATTTAGATCATAAAAGACGAGTGAAAGGAAGAGATAGGGAGGATAAGAGGGGTGGGGGAATGAGAGAGGGGGGGGGGGAATGTATGTTTACCTCCCATGCATGTCACTCTCGCTGAACATATCCTGAATTTACACTGACAAAGTACAAGGCATCAGAAATCCCTGAAGTTCCTTTTTCTCTAATATTGGTGCTTTTTCATAAACTTTGCTCAGTTTAAATTTTATATAGCAAAATTTGACTTAGCTAATTTGTAGTGAAATTAAATTATTGGAAACATACTGTGTGTTTGAAGTTTTTTTGAGAATCAACTTAGTTATGTTAACTACTCTTTGTTAAACTGATCACATTATTATAATATATGCAAAAGACCTTGCAACAATGAGAACTCACTCTCTCCCCCTGCCCACACACACACACATAGTCAAGCTATAGTTTGCGCGCGCACACACACACACATTTAATTAGTCAAGCTTATAATGCACGTTTGAAGTGGCCCAAAATAATTTCTTATAATTATACTGCAAATTATTTAGATTATAAAAGACAAGTTAAAGGAAGGGAGAGGGGGTATAAGAGGGGTGAGGGGAATGTGTGAGAGAGAGGGATAAGGAGAGAAAAGACAAGAAAATGTATGTGTTACCTCCCTGATATGCACATCACTCTCGCTGAACATCCTAAATTTACATTAACAAAGTACGATGCAACAGAAATCCCCAAAGTTCCTTTTTCTCTAGTTTTGGTGCTTTTTCATGAACTTTACTCAGAATAAATATCATACAGCAAAATTTGACTTAAGATCATTTGCAGCGAAATTAAAATATTATGCACACACAAACACACTCTCACACACACACACACTCACTCACTTAGTTAAGCTATAGTATGCGCGCGCGCGTGCATACACATACACTCACTTAGTTAAGTTATAGTATGCACACTGTAGGCGTCGCTCGAAGTGCGCCTACGTTGAGCATAGGTGAATATGCTTAGAAATCATAGGAATTAGTTGGATTTGACATATAACAATAGAGACAAAAAAGTATGGAGCCGCCAACAAGTTTTTAAGGAACTTGTAAACCGTTCATGGATCATTAAATGCAACCACGAAAAGAGACAAACCGAAAGGCAACAACGATTTGATCCATGAAGGTTACACCCCATTCATAATCCATGAGATTACTAACTCCATAGTGGTCCTGAACCATAATTGGATATTCAGGGATGATGGTACGGATTGAGTCATGAACCCAATACCACCCGTATTGGCCTCCACTCGATTCTTATAGCGACATGTATTATTTGCAACCCAAAAGACATACAAACAATATTCAATTCGCTCCAAACTAATTAGTCTAAGCCAGTTGAATATTTAATGCACATAAATCTAATTATTGTGACCACTTGAATTAAGCAATAAGATTAATAGGAACCTAAACCGGTTATCCAAATTATCTTATTAGGCGTGATTTTCAATTACATATTCCCAATTAAACATGCAATAAAGGTGATCAAAACAATAGAATAAATCAAATAAATTAAATAAGCATGTATAAATATAGGAAGCAACTAGATAATAATTAGAGAAACGAATTAAAACGTCCCTAACATGATACTAAGCAATAATTAATAAAATCCGAGGCATGATACTAACAAGATTAATATAAAGCCTAAACATGATACTAATAATTAAAAAAAAAAAAAAAAAAAAAAAAAAAAAAAAAAAAACCCTAAACATGATGCTAGCAAGAGTAAAAATTGTAGAATTAATTAAACGAAAAGAATAATTAAACCTACTTACTTTGATAGCGAAACCTTGCAACTACATCATGAATAAACTGTTAGTAAACTTCAATAAAATATATAAAATCAAAAGAAACTAAATTAAATTAAAGAAAATAAAAATTAAATTGAGTTTAGATTGAAACCCTCAGGGTTTATGATCAACCTTTCACGTCGTGGACCGCCAATAGAGATTCGGGTGAAGTATTGATGTTAAAGCACTCGGAGGAGGAATTTTGAAAGATTATAAGAGAGATAAGATAGAGAAGTTTAGAGCATAAGAGAATATGCGAGCAGAAAACAGTGTCCGTGACCCACGAAAGGCCACGGTATTTATAAAAAAATAGTCGGGAAAAAGATAAAAATTATCAGAAAGAAGATTATTACGCCAGCTGAGTATCATCGCGTGGCGATGGTCTGCATCGCGCAACGATGCAAATCATCGTGACGCGATACAAGTTGGTTTCCAGCTTTTTGAGTTTTATGAAAATTAGTCTTTGTACGTTCCAGTTCATAAAAATTAATCTATTTTTATACAATTTTTAACGCGTCTAGACCTTTAGAAGCTTATTTCAAACTCAGATTACTTTATGATTTAGATAATTTTTAGAAAATTGAGACGGAAAAATATAAGAATAAGAATGAAAATAAGAATAAAGATTAAAACATATGGATTGGGGTTAAGATTAAAATAAATGTGGGCTAGAAAAGTTAAATTAAATGGGTTTCAAAAATAATATGAAGTACTCCTTTATTTCAATACTAAACCTGAACCAAATAGCGATGAAAGGCTTCCTCATCATCGGGTTTCGATCGGGGAGACATTTTTAGGTGCCTACACACACACAGTATTGATTTCCCTCGGTACACCCTGGATGAAGTTGCAACTATTTGCCTCTATTTTACCAATTTAGTAGTTAATCTTGGTTAAGGAAATCCTTGAAATTTATCGTATACTAGGTTAAAATCCCATGCAATGCACGGTTGTTAAATATTTTTACAATAATATTACAAAATATAAAGTATATAAAAGATGTTCAGAAATATTTTATTTGGGTATATATGGAATATGATTATCAAATTGGAAAGAAAATATCATAAACTATAAATAATTTACTTAAATATTTTGCAAAAAAAAAAAGGAAAAAAAAAAGGCGGAATTTTTTTTACAAGGTAGTGACAAGTGTCATCGAAGGATTTGCTTTTAGTATAGGTTAATAGATAGATTGGATATAATACAACTATAGTGTTTGATTATTAGATGATTTGTTAGCTAGGAATACTACTTTTAGATAGGCATATATATGTAAATTTTATAGGGCTTGGACATTTCGGAGATTTCATTAGAGGGCTAGATTACTGAATTTAGTGGTGTTGACAGTACATTCAACCAAACAAATTAAAATTTGTGCACTTTGCTTTGCTTCCCTCTTAAAATACAAGGGTCCCTTCTTGCTCGATCTCTAATCTTCGATCTCCGCTTATGGAATTTTGTACCCTTTTGCCTTCTTGAGAAGTTCTCTTTATGTGGGGTTTGTGATTACAAATATTTTCTTCTTAATTCATTTGGTTGCAAAGTATTGCCAATCCAATACCTCTATTAGGGAATGGTCAGGAGAAAGGTTGGAATGGAACGAAATCTGTAGAGCTTAAGCTTATCCTCAAGGGCACCATGAAGTTGGCCAAGAAGGCCAGCCAATTAGATCTAATCGAGTTGATGTAAGTCACCTCCATGGGATAATGTCTTAAAATATCACATCAAAGAGTTTGAGATGACCTTTATTGATAAGTTTCCAGTTTGCTCAATTGAAGTAAAGAGACACATTGATCGGTGCATAATATTTATTTATCAAACACATTGATCGAAGCAAAGAGACTCATTATTTTTAGTATGTTGTATTGATGTTTATTGTAAGAATTTGGAAGCTTTGAGCTTCAAATGACTGTATATGAATGTATACAAGATGGAAATGATGATTGGATATTATGATGCCATATACGTCTTTATCTAAAGAAGTTGAGGAATGCATATTTATTTTGTTAGCTGTTGTAGGTTGTAGGTTGTAATTTGTATACTATACATCAGATATGTTTGAAAATAGTGAGGCACAAATGAAATTACATTGTTTTCTGGTGTTAATTAATAAAAGCTTTATTAATAAAAGCTTTTTTAATAAATAGAAGAGCAATTACACCAGATCAATATCCACCGAGGCCAGCAGACCTTGTAAAAAGTCAGACAAATACAAATGTTTTATTTCATCCCCCGGTAACAGTGTAACACTCTAGCTACAAAATGTGCTACAACATTCTCATTTCTTTTAACAAAAACTTTTGTATACATTTTATAATATTACTATACATCGAGGTAACTTTTGTTGAATTTAAGTTAACTTTTAGATTTTTTTGGGTAATTTTTATTAATAAATTATAAATAATTTTTATTTATATTATGATAACTTATATGTACGAGGTAACTTTCATTCGTTACAGGGTAACTTTTGATCATTTTAAAATAACTTTATAGCATATATATAATATTTTATTATACATCCGATATTTTAAAATATTTTCTTCTTTTAACATAGTTACAAGAGAAAGGATCGAAGAAGGTCCCAGCCCAATTAATGTCCTCAATAATCAAGTGAGAAGGGGTTCTTCCAGTGCCACCCTTTTGCAAGGCCGTGAAAACCCGAAGAGCATAACACTCCAGCTCAACATTCTGTAGCCCAGTCTCTTAGCCACCAAAACACCCAAACGAGCAGCCTTATTCTTCATTTCTCTCTCTCATTTTGAATCATCGATCTTGAAGAAGAAGAAGAATGGCGATGTGTCAACGAATGAAATCGAGCCTTCCTTTGATTCAGAAATTTGTGGCATCTCAATCTCTTTCTTCTGGAAGATCCACTCTTCAGAAGACTCTTCTTAACCCTTATGTCGTCAACGATCAGGTATTTTCTTACATTTTTTGAATTAGGGTATTTTGATTTTGGGGATGGACATTTAATTGAATTCATTGGTTGTTTGGCTTAGATTGATTTGGGGATTAATTCCAATTTTTTGTTTTTTTGGGTTTCAGAGAAAGTATGCTACATCAGCTCCCGTTAAGAAGGAAGAAATAAGGGTAATTATTAACGCTTTTTTATTTTCCTTCTGCTATGGAATTTAATTCCAATTATTTTCTTATTGTTCCTCTTTAATTTGATGATTATCGATCTTTAGAGATTAGGTTATTAAGCCGGGTGATTTTTAGCTGCTTGAATTTGTGTTAGGTTAGAATCATTGCTTGTGAATTGTTGTTGAGATCTTTGTTTCAGCTTTGGAGAGCTTCTAAGTTAGCTGGGAAATCTTGTTAATTAGATTCGTAATACTAATTGCTTGAACCTCTTCTGCTCACTTCTAAGAAGACCACTTGTCACCCATTGGTTTAGGATAACTTATGCCCGTCCTTCGACTATCCATTTGCAGCATCATCAATATAGATGTCTCTATAGTCATGACATACCACATTCCAAAAATAAAAGCTAGGAAATTTGTTCATAAATTTATAATTTTTGTGTTTTTGGAATCTCATTAGCCTGGCATTCTCGTCGGTTTGACAAATTATTGGTTTTGACTCGCCTATTCTTAGTTCTTCATTACATCCAAATTACTCAAATTTATCTGAAGAAAATGTACATTATTTGTAAGACTTTGTAATGTTTTTTTGCTTATAAAAGTTGGTTTTACAAGAAGGGCTTTACCTTTCTTTTTGCGGCAGAACCCAAACCACAAGCTCTCTATATTCCAAGGACTCATCATTAGTAATGACCCTTGCTCGCTTGTGGCTTTCGGGAATAATCAAGCATTAGATGACACACAGCAATAACAATGACCAATATCAGTTCCAACATATCAAGACCCAGTAGTTACACCCTCTAGGAAGGTGGTAAATGCAACTGCTATTAAGTTATACATCATAGCTAACCTTCCAAATTTTGTTCGATTTTTCAAAGAATTGGACATTATATCTTCAGATAGGGTATGACCACTAATTCACTAGTGTCCGTGTCCCTTGATGGTTTGGTGCTTCAACAATCATAAAGATTAATTTAAACAGGACTTAATTAGCATTGTGAAGCAAGCGATCTAAGACCATAATAAAGTAACTTATCTATGTTGCTTTTATTTTACTTTTTCGGTAGGTCTAGACGGATTGTATAAAGCAAGATAAGTTATGTTAAATCACATACTAATTAAAACGTATGCAATATTGGCTTTTTTATTAAGTATATTGTATACTATGCACTTGTATACACAATATATAAATTCTCTTTTGAAATAAACTTTGATTAAATTCAATGAAATTTATAATATTTAGGACCTTTTGTTTACCTTTCACTTAATTCTCTAGAGGTAATATCCGTTACAAAATTACAGTAAAGAAAGAAGAATCAAATTTTATTTAAGTAAATGGGCCTTTTATTTACCACTTTCATGTTCTAAGCGGAGAGGGTTGGAGAAGGATGAACAAAAAAGGTGCATAATACAGAGTGAGGTTTGTGTTATATAATGAAACATCCCTTCTGATTTCTTCTTTTCCCCCCCTTTATCACAAACCTTTTGTTTGCTTGGACTAGTCATTTGCAAGGAATAATAAGCTAAAGATTTGTTATAGAACGGATATAAGTAATGGAACAGCTATGAATTGATTTGTTTCGAAAAAAAATGTAATGGATCAGATTGGTTTTAGTTCCATACTTGGCAGACTTGTAATTGTCCTCATTGAATCTGATGGCTTTCACCGTGCATTAAATTACCAAGGCTCCCTTTGATAGTGTAAGAGCATTTATTTTTTGGGATAGTAAGCTGCAAAATAAATGTCTTAATATGGCTTCATAGTTTATGCAATTTTTTTTTCTGTAAATGTCTGACTTAGCAGAATATATACTTGTGGAAGGAGAGATCTAATGAATGGATGCTATTGTAGAAACTTTGCTTGCTAAATATTGGCATAGAATTTTTTTACTAACATCTAAGTCCATGCTTCTCATCTTATATGTTTTTTTTGGTGTTCTTTAATGATATATCAGGTTCCTTTTGCTATGTTTGGAGGTTCTGGGAATTATGCATCTGCTTTATATCTTTCTGCTGCTAAAGCTAATGCTTTGGACAAGGTTGAGTCTGAGCTTTTTGACCTTATTGAGGCTACTAAGAAATCTCCAAGGTTTTCTCAGTTTACAAAGGATATCTCTGTATCTTCAGATGTAAGAATTAAGGCTATGAGTGACATATGTGCTCAAGCAAAATTCACAGATATTACAAGGAACTTTTTGGGTACGTCTCTTTGACTTAGTTTGTGATTTGAGCTGTAAGGTTTCCTGTATTTGTTCTTGTGCATGTAATATAAGATGCTTCTCCTCTTTGGCTAAGTCAATATGTGAAATAAAATTCTGCCTTCATCTCTAGTTAGGCCGTATCAAATTGAGGATCACCTATAAGATCTCCAGTAAAAATGTCTTATATGTCCTATATGAATAGCAACAGCCTAAATAGAACTTTGGCCTACCTTAGCGGCATAGGGAACATCTTTGGTAACATATGCTGGTTTCGTTTTGGTCTTGGAGATGCTTGTTCAAAAATTTGTCACAAACCCACTGAATCTTTAGCCAAACTCATTACTTCTTGTTCATCTGGGTTGGGCGAATGGATTTTATTGTTGGCATATGTCACTGTGGTTGCTACCTTATCTCCATCTCTATGAGGCGAAAGTCACTTCTGCGAGGTTGCTTATTAGTTATGAGATAAGAATCATTCATTATGGATGTAAATGTGTTCTAAGCCTTTGGCCGGTGGGATTCACAATCCTTGTGCAAGGAATCAGCCTAAACCTGATATCCGCTTCACTTATGCTAGAGGGCCCAAGAATTAGCCAGAAGAATGCTGAGTTGGAAGGTTGTTAGAATCAGTTTTGGGGAAAGAGGGTAAATTAGTAATCTAGAGATAAGTTTGCTATTAGTTTGTTATTTTTGGCTGCCATGCTTTAGGTGTGTTTAAGTTTGTTTTATGGCTTAATTTTGGGGTATTAATAGGTGATTGGTGAAGGGGGAATGTATCCAGAAATTAATTAAGAAATTTGTTTTGGGAGAGCTCCTTCCTCTCGAAAGAAGGCTTGTATTGTTGAACACTCTGTTTATCAATACTACTATCATTCCCTTGGCTGCCATTGATTCTATCTCTTCTAGCTTGGTACCTTGCTGTTTTCATACTAATCCCGAGCAAATTGGTATCAAAGCAGTGACGTTCCAAGCCGAGGAAGAAGGTCAGTGTCTGGACTTGTTGGAGCGGGAGATGTCCGGGCTTCCGTCGCACGTTGCTCAGGAGATCACCACTGCGATGGCAGCGTCCGGAGAGAATCCGATAAGAACTTTGCTCTTCACCGGTGAATGGACCACAATCTTAGTGGGATAATCCGTTCTCATCTCAGCCTCACTTAGATTATGGAGACGGTGGCTATCAAGGAGGGCAATCGAATTGGAAATTGAGGAAACTCGATTTACCTTTGTTTGATGGCACAAACTCGGATGGGTGGATCCTCAGTGATTCTTTCATTTTTACCGGTTAAGTAAAGAAGATCAACTGGAGGCGGCCATTGTCGCGCTGACGGAGACGCCTTGCTCTGGTATCAATGGGAGCATCGGCGCCATCCTTTGCTATCGTGGGAAGCGCTGAAGAAATTGCTTCTCCGACATTTTAGAACCACTCCCACCGGCACGATGGCCGATTACCGGCGATGTTTCATTGAACTTTTAGCTCCGATTGAGGGTGGTGTACCAGAGGAGATTGCGAAGGGCCAGTATATTAAAGGGTTGAAGGAAGAGATTCGGGTTGAGGTCCGGATCATAGACCCGATTACCTTGGATCAAGCCATGGATCTATCCATGAGGATCAAGGAGAAAACTGAGGTTAGGCCCACGACCCAAACCGGCCGGTAACATGCCCACTTGGCGTACCCCCTTTCCAAACCTACGATCCAACCCAAACACATCAACCCTAAACACGAACCCAATCCACCACTCTACCACCAACCAACCCTTCCCGAACCAAAACACCTTCAACAACCACAAAAATACCGACGAAATAAGGCGGTTGTCCGAGAAGGAGCTTCAGCAAAAGCAGGAGCAGGGTTTGTGCTTCCGTTGTGACGAGAAATGGATGATGAACCACCGCTGTCAGCGTCGCGGCTTGAGCGTGTTGCTCACGGTGGACGATGAAGACGTGGATTATGTCGGCGAATTTTCCATGGTGGAGATGAACCCAGATGGCCTCATTATACCTCACCCAAACCCAAATTCGACCCCAAAAGTTTCCTTGAGCTCCGTAATGGGGCTAACTAGTCCTAAGACGATGCGGTGAATGGGAGTTCCGTGGTGGTGATGATTGACCCTGGAGCGATCCATAACTTCATCTCCAATGTTGCGGCCCAGAAATTAGGTCTTAACCCAACTAAATCTAGAAGACTTCCTCATTCTTCGATTGGGTAGTTTGGATATGATCCTTGGCATCCAATGGTTGGAGAAGCTTGGCACCATGACAACCAACTGGAAAACACAAACACTAACACTGAGATTTCAGTTGGATGGTTATAAGGTCACCTTGAAGGGTGATCCTCACTTGGGGCGTACTGGTATTTCCCCAAAGGCAATGTACAAAACCTTGCAGAAGGAAGGCCATGGTTATCTGCTCGAATTGAATCACTTAGAGAAGGCAGGGGAAGTGGAACCAAATATCCCTATAGCCTTCCTACCTCTCGTGTAGGAATATCAGCATGTATTCCACATGTCTGGTGGGTTACCACCACAAAGACAGATTGAGCATGCCATTGTGTTGCGTAGTGGTGATAATCTTAGAAGGATGAGATCGAGAAGTTGGTCTCGGATATGCTTAGTCGACAAGTGCTTATTCTAGTCCGGTTTTGTTGGTGAAGATAAAAGACGGATCATGGCGTTTCTGTGTTGATTTCATGTTTCCTGATAAATTCCCAATCCCCATCATTGATGAGTTACTTGATGAATTGGGTGGCTCGGTGATCTTCACAAAACTTGACCTAAAATCTAGTTACCACCAGATTCAGGTGAAACCCGAGGACGTCCATAAGACAGCATTTCAAACCCATGAGGGTCACTATGAATTCCTCGTAATGCCCTTTGGGCTAACCAATGCCCCCGCTACTTTTCAGTCGCTTATGAACGAAGTCTTCAGGCCCTTCTTGCGTAAGTTTGTCTTGGTAGTCTTTGACGACATATTGGTGTATAGTCCTTGTGTCGAGACTCACAAGGAACACTTGTAGCAAGTGTTGCAGACTCTAGCCGACCACCAGCTCTTTACCAATTTTAAGAAGTGTGAAGTAGGGAAGGACAGGGTGGCTTACTTAGGTCACATCATCTCAGCAGCCGCGGTGGAAGTGGACTCTTCCAAGGTTCAGGCCATGTTAGATTGCCTTCCAGGTTATTACCGCAAGTTCATAAAAGGCTATGCTCAAATTGCTCTGCCCTTAACTGATCTATTACGGAAGGAGAATTTTGGGTGGACTGAGGCTGCCACTTCAGCTTTCAATACCCTCAAGGCTGCTATGGTGAATGCACCTATCTTGGCAGCACCTGATTTTTCTGCCCTTTGTGGTTGAAACGGATGCTTCAGGGCATGGCTTGGGGGCTGTCCTGCTGCAAGCACAGCACCCAATCACATATTTCAGCAAAGTCTTGGGCATCAAAAATTGGGGTAAACCCATCTACGAGAAAGAGTTGATGGCAATTGTCTTTGCGGTAGAGAAATGGAGGCACTATTTATTGGGCCGTCACTTCATTGTTCGTACCGATCAAAGAAGCCTTAAGTATCTCTTGGAGCAAAGGGAGGTGGGGCAAGCCTACCAAAGGTGGATTAGCAAGCTGATGGGGTACACTTTTGACATTCATTGCAAGCCGGGCCTTACCAATAAGGTGGCAGACGCGCTATCCCGCCAACACAGCCATGAGATTGAGTGTGGGTCTATGGTGACTTCTTGTGGTCTTCATTGGGACTATGTGCAGGCTTTTATAGAGAAGGATGTAGTGTGCAACGTTTGATTTCGCAATTACAAAAAGGGGAAGCAGCACCAAAATGGTTTACATTGGAGAATGGTGTTTTGAAATACAAAGGGCGGATAGTGATTCCAAAGCAAGTTGAGCTGACCACCAAGCTGCTCAAAGTCTTTGGTGGGAGGGCACGCTGGTGACCTCAAGACTTACCATCGCTTGGCAGGGGAATGGTTCTGGTTTGGGATGAGAAAAGATGTGGCAAAATATGTCCAGCACTGCCACGTTTGTCAGCAGAACAAGTCTTCAACCTTGTCTCCTTTGGGTCTTCTCCAACCCCTCCCAATTCCGGAAAGGATTTGGGAGGACATATCTATGGATTTTATAGAAGGATTGCCAAAGTCTTTGGCTGGCATACCATACTCGTGGTAGTGGATAGATTGACCAAGTATGGGCATTTTATCCCACTCAAACTCCCTTTTACTGCTCAGAGTATGGCACAAAGTTTCATGTCTGAGGTGGTGAAGTTACATGGTATACCGAGTTCCATTGTATCAGATCGAGACAAGGTCTTCCTTACAATTTTTTGGACTGAAATGTTCAAGCTTCTAAGGTACTCAGCTCATGCGCAGCACGACTTATCACCCTCAAACAGACGGCCAAACTGAGGTTGTCAATAAGGGCGTTGAATCCTACTTGAGATGCTTTGTGAACGGCAAACCACATACTTGGGCTCGCTGGCTTCCATGGGCAGAATATTGGTACAATACCTCATTCCACACCGCCACCAACTACACTCCTTTCAAGGCTCTCTATGGCAGGGACCCTCCTCATTTGATCAGATTCTCAGGTGGCAGCACAGCTGTGTCATCGGTAGAGGAACAATTGCTGGAACGTGATGCTATACTTGATGACTTGAAGTTCCATTTGGTGCAAGCTCAGGTGTACATGCAACAATATGAGAACAAGGGAAGGCGTGAGGGAGCTTTCCAGGTGGGTGATCTGGTTTACTTGAAATTGCAGCCATATAGGCAAAGGTCTTTGTTGAGAAGATCCAATGATAAGCTATCTCCGCGCTTCTATGGCCCTTACCAGGTGACTCAGCAGATTGGCAAGGTTGCCTATAAGTTGCAACTTCCCGGGGTCTAAAATACACCCAGTTTTTCATATTTCTCAGTTGAAGAGGGCCATTGGGGCAGGGCATCGACCAACCAACCTTCCTGCACAGTTGGCTGCTGATTTGGTGTTGGAGGTTGAGCCTTGGGCAGTGCTTGGTGTGAGAAATTCTCAGGCTGCTATGGAAGTTTTGATTCATTGGAAGGGTCTGCAGGACTTTGAAGCTACTTGGGAATACTTTGAGGAAGTTAATCTCAGGTTCCCTAGTTTCCACCTTGAGGTCAAGGTGAAACTTTGGGTGGGAGGTATTGCAAGTAATCAGCCTAAACCCGATGTCTGCTTCACTTATGCTAGAAGGCCCAAGAATTAGCCAGAAGAATGCTGAGTTGGAAGGTTGTTAGAATCAGTTTTGGGGAAGAGGGTAAATTAGTAATCTAGAGATAAGTTTGTTATTAGTTTGTTATTTTTGGCTGCCATGCTTTAGGTGTGTTTAAGTTTGTTTTATGGCTTAATTTTGGTGTATTAATAGGTGATTGGTGAAGGGGGAATGTATCCAGAAATTAATTAAGAAGTTTGTTTTGGGAGAGCTCCTTCCTCTTGAAAGGAGGCTTGTATTGTTGAACACTCTGTCTATCAATACTACTATCATTCCCTTGGCTGCCATTGATTCTATCTCTTCTAGCTTGGTACCTTGCCTAGCACCTTGCTGAAATCACGTTAGGCAAATCATAATTGCATACTTTTTATATGAAGTCTATATCATATGTGATAGCTTAAATGTTATTGTGTGAGATGATTTTTTGAAATCCTTTTTTGTTGGATCCCTTTTTCAATCATGTTTTTTCTTTTATTGTGAAAAAATTAATGTTTCTCTTCACTTCAATTAGTTATTATGGCCGAGTATGGAAGGCTAAAGCACATAGAGTCCATTGCAAAGAGATTCTCAGAATTGACTATGGCACACAGGGGAGAGCTGAAAGCAATTGTAACAACTGTCATTGTATGTATCTTTATCCTTGTTTTCTCTTTTAACTTTAAAGTACAATAACACTAACTTGTATAGTATATCTATGATAATACTCTCTTGTTCCTTGTCTTGGTTTCTTTGTCCAGCCTCTTCCTCCTGCTGAGGAGAAAGAACTGAAGGAAACTCTACAGGAAATACTTGGGCAGGGAAAGAAAGTCCAGCTTGAACAGAAGGTAAGTTTATGTCTATACCTCCTCATGTCTTTTTTTTTTTTTTTTTTTTTTTTTCTTTTTTTCTTTATGTTTGTGACTATTTGCCAAACTGAACCATTGAGTTTGCTTTATTGTAGTCGAGTATTAATTTACTGCAGTCTCTTGAAAAATGTTAGTGTACTTGTCGATCTGATTCTTGAACTCCCATGGCTGTTACAGATTGACCCTAGCATTCTTGGTGGTCTAGTTGTTGAATTTGGGCAAAAAGTTTTTGATATGTCCATCAAGACCAGGGCAAAACAGATGGAGAGGTTTTTGCGAGAACCAGTCAATCTTTAAGTGCCCCTTGAAGTCTTATTCTTTCAGAACGACTTTTAGATTTCCGTTCGTGATAATGGCAATGGTGCTGCATAAGATGAAAAGTCTTTACTTCTGTCTCTTTTGGCTCAAAATTGTTCAGGCCAACTTTTTTCTATTTTTCAGTTGACGTGATCTGATGCACAAAATAAAAATCAAAGGTCTTGTGGTTGGCATTTTCACCCAGCCAAAGTAAACTGACTTATTCTTGTAATTTTGTTCAATTGCATTGCAATTATAATGTTAATCACTGTGAGTCGATCATTTTCTTGGAATGAAATTTTGTGATGCTTTGTGCTTAGAAATATGGTTGATCTGTCTATAGCTGAATTCGCCCCTGATATAGATAGGAGGGTTCCTAGTTTAACTGTGATGATGAATAGTGCAAGTGATTTATCCATATACTATGCGTCTATGCACAATGCTTTGTAGATTGGCAGGGACTAGGAATGTGATTAGCAGATGGCGTAACATAACAAAAGTGCTCCAGGTATAAATGAAGTTTTGACACAATTATATATGGAGTAGCCTTGCTCACAAACACTACTACGAGTAATATTCAACGTGAATCTTTATAAAGTACGAGTAGCAATTTCATAGTATGTGCTGTTTTCAGAAAAGGTGGAAATGAGGTAATTTTGGTAAGGTTGTACCGTTGTAGAAGTATAGAACCATTTAATTTTCAATTCTGATTATGTGATTCTTTAAAGTTGTATGAACTTAATACTGATTAATTTGTACTAAATTACTAATCAATTTAACTTGAAGTTAACAATAGAAAAGTAGAAAATACTTTCTGCCTCAATAGTATCTAATGTGATAATATATAGCTGATTAGTTGATACTCCCTTCGTCTCATAATACATGAGACGTTGGACTTTTTTCACTATTCACGCATTAGCTTTGACCATAATTTTTGTATTATTATACTAAAAATATATTTTATCATAAAATATGTTGTTAGATAGGTAGTAATATAAAGTTTCATAATATAATTTTTAAAATAATTTTCTTTAATATTATTATATAAAAATAGAGTCAAATTAGTGCATTGACATATGTATAATGTTGACTGTATTATGTATTTTGAGACAGAGGGAGTATTTTGTTTATTACAAGGGAGAAGTGATGCATTTAAATTGAATTTTTCATTTTTAGAATGTAATGCATCTAATAAAAAAAACGTTGGACCGTAATCACTTTGTAATTTCTAAGTACCTGGTCTTATTAATAAAGCATCTTAACTATTTTTGAAAGAAGTCCTAAAGCATCTTAATTATTAAGTCTAAGTAAAAAGGATTGTGATTATTGCAAGACAAGTTGTATTTTGTTATGAAATAACTTTATTAACTTTATGGTTTCGAATAATTAACCTTATATGTAGTTTTAAACATCTTGAATCATGATATACAAGACATTGGATATACAAACAACCACAACAAAGATTTCATAATTAAACTAGTTTTTAGGTTCGGGCGATGCCTGAGGTGATATATGCAATGAATGTTAAGTTGTTTATATAATTATATCTTACATTAACAAGATAACATCAATTATTGAATGGTTTTGGTGGTAGCGTTTGAGGTAGCGGTTAGCGTTTTGACTAGTCAAAACACTACTAGAAAAAATTTGAGAGTGTTTGGCAAGGTAGCGATTCTAGTAGCGGTTAGCGATAGAAGTAGCGTTTAAGTAGCTTTGTTCAAACGTTAAAAATAGCAGCGTTTAGAAGTAGCGGGTAGTGTTTGGCAAAATTTTATTACTTTTTAAACAATATTTATATGAATTTTGATATATTTTAGTATTGAAACCGCTACTTTTACCAAAGACTCGTACTATCAATCGTTACCTTGACAGCTACTCGACCGCTAAAAGCTACCCGCTACTCGACCGCTAAAAGTTACCCGTTACCGTTACTTTTCCCAAACAGGTTTTATATGTATGATATGGAATATAACACCTGAAGGGAAAGTGCCACGTGACATATAGACTTGAATGCAACACTTTTTTGTAATCCAACACGCGCGATAGTCCAGCGTTTTTTTTTTGTCGTAATTATTAGTTTAATTAACTAAGTACTTTTATCGTTCTTATGATTAGTTTAAGATGTACTTAGATTTAACACGTCTTTGTATTCTTTGTATTGTCATGTTCAGAGTAATTTGCCGTAATTCCAATATTCTTTAAAAGCGTAATGGGCTAAAATGTGAGGGTAAATGGTAATAAGTGTATTTATTTCTAATTTAAATAAGCATAATCGGAAAGTGCAATTACATGGTTTTTACATTCTATTAAGGAGATGAACCCATTTTTGGAATCTGTATAGAGACATTGTGTTTGATATTTTAACTTTTTGAAGAGTTTTATTGAGCAAGTATACATAAGCAAAGGTGTAACAGTTGCATATAAACAAATCTTAGAATGTGTACATTAGCACAAAAATCTTAGAATGTGAGCATCTAGTATACAACTATACATGGCTAATTGGCTACACATTTTTTAAAAATATTTGGCAAAATGTATAAAGAATTTTGACTACACATCATTAAATTTGTATTTCAGAAACAATATTACTTTGTAGTATACCAAAAAATTTACAAGTTTAGCCGAGTAATTTCTAATAGTTATTATTTCTCTAATCTTATAATACGTAGTAATACAAAGCTATAATGAACAGACGAGGAAAGACTCCTTTTTATTAATAAGGATAGCCGCAGTTTCCGAGCAACATTTTCAGAAAGTCTTTGTAATAAATAGTTGATGCCTTTTTCTTTGCAGGAGTTCGACCTCGCCTTGCAATAATATCTTCTAATTCTTGTATCTTCATATGGTATAAATGACCACACCTCTTAATACATATATATACAGTCACACGTAAAGTCTTTAACCCACACATCATACCGATCAATGAGAGCGTGCACACCAAGCTTAGCAGCTGCTTTAGAAGATTTCCCATGTTTCCACATTCCCCCTTCAATGATCAAGGAGTTTGCTCTAGCTTCAATGAAAAGCTATCTAGAATTTCGTAAACAGGTCCAGAAAGCTGGAGACAGGCAGTGATATGCCCTAACAATGGCTAGAAAGGAATCGGAATTACACGCAGCATTGCAGCCATTACCTGTGAGACCGAAATTATATTTCTTAGTTCAAAAACGGTTTCAAACCAATAAACCCTTACCCCGCTATGTATATACTTAAAATAAGCTAAACCAAATGAACCCTTTTTAAGCAATTTTTTAAACTGATGTTACATAATTTCTGCTTCTCCAGAATACAGAAACTAAAACCTGGTCATAAACTTTAATAATGAAGTAACAAAACTAAGACACCTTGGCCAGCAAATCAAACACTTAAACAAGCAGCCAAGTTACACAAAATGCATGCATCAATAAGTGCAAACACATATAAGTACAAAAAGGATGCAAATTCTGGCAAAAATATGTAAAAACACATATAAAAATATGTTTCAAAGGGAAAATATTATCTAACTTGATTCGTAGTAAGCAAAGCCATTCAAATTAAGAGAAAGCATACCAAAGGAATTGTAAGCTGCGATGTCAAAGTTCTATCTATCTTCTGTAAACCAAACAGTCCAACCAGATCGCCCAAGCCTGACCATCACACAAACACAAGGGAAAATTTGCAATCGGCAGGTAAGAATCATAAATACATGCAATACCAGCAACAGATTTATACGCAAACACAAAATACAAATCAAACCGGCCTAACAGATTCACCAAATCATAATCGTAGAAAAAATGAAAGTTCAATATAATGAAAATACTCTTTACATAAACTTAGCACTGGCTTGTAAGCCTTTTTAATCACAGATTACAGAAAGCTACCTCCTATTGCATAATTGTTGCAGTAAAGTTTAATCTATAAGAGTTAAGTTAAAGCATAATTATTAAAAGCATAGTTAAAGCATTCTGTTAGATGATATTCTATTTAGTTTTCAAACTCTGACTTGAGACTCAATCAAACACCATAATCTCTAAACAAACCCCTCCTGATACTAACAATTTAAAAATTTCTCATAAGCAAAATATCCCTATAGCAAATACCAAAAATCCAATTAAATAAAAAGAGCACATGTTTGTTTATATTCTGTTTAGAGTGATGCTTTAAAATGTGTCACAACTTAGCCAGACCAAAATGTCTTCTTTAAAAGAACTTTTAAAAGGCTCCACACGAACAAGCCAAAAAAAAAAAAAAAAAAAAAAAAAGAGTACTCAAATGAAAAAAATAAATCAAAATCCAAATATGCAGAGACAGAAGCTAGAAAACTTTCCTTTGTTAAATATTTAGGATTTTTAGGTAACCATAGTCTCAAGTCCTATATTCAAGTTCAACTCATCAGGTAATGAAATCCATTTTGTCCAGCCATTTACACAAGCACATCTAATTAGGTGCAGGATTTTCAGTAACCATAGTCTCAAGTCCTGCTACTTCCATTTCCACTATATTGCTACTATTTGCAATTTTGCAGTACCTGACGCCCATAATTCTATTTATCTAATTTGGATATTGATTTTAAGGGAAGAATTTAATTTAATAATTTTTAACTAATTACTCTTACATACACAAAAACCAATTTCTAGTTTTTATAAAAATCACTTAATCCCTAGAATAGTAGGATTGTGTAAATTCAAGTTTTGTTTTTTTTTTTTTTTTTAAAAAGAAAAATAAAAATAAAAATTCTTGGCCCAATAAAAAATCAAATTAACAGAAAACAAAATAGCAGAGCAAGAATGCAATAATAAAAGAATAATAGAGAAGGAATTAACAATAACCTTGTTGAATGAAGAGAGAGAGAGAGATTAGAGATTGGATCAAATCCCATTATTTATTTGATCAAAAACTATACAAATTTGATGAGTCTATTTTATATATATTTTTATTCCCTGTCCCACGGTCATATTTGTGCTTATCTGAGCTCTATGAAGCTATTTTTATTACTAATATACATTTTTTAGTGTTTTTGTAAAGTTGGTATTATATTGCAAAAATTTGCAGAATTATGACAATTCCCAAGCTTATCGAGCCACTACAAAGCATTAGAGTCCGATCGTATTTTATGACCGTATATTTAAAGCCCAAGACCGAGTTAGAGAAATTGAATTCGGTGATTAAGCACCCGATTAGAGAAGAGAAAGGTCCAAAACTCCAAATTATAATTATGAATTACCGGAGCAAGAAAAGCCTAAGATACAAATCCAAGAAACAAAGCAACCTAGCTCGCTGCTCAATTGAACGGGGCCGATTAGGCGGCCTCATTCCCGATCGGGCTAGTATGCCGCAAGTTGTT